TCATTTTTAATAACGTATTTAATAGTAATTACAGTAGTAATACAGTAAGTATGGTAGTTTTTATAAATCCTAACTAAACTAACTACATTTAGAAAAGCCATCTATACACAGTGCAATTTAGTAAGAAATATTAACACTAAAAATTCAATTTATTTTTATATAGCGCTTTTCACAACAGAGTCGCCCCAAGGTGCTTTGTATTGGTGTGCGGTGATGCATTACAACATCATTAAGACAGAATAATGCAATAAACAGTGAAAAAAGCTGAAAAAAAATACTAAAGAGTCAAATAATTGGGGAGAATGTTATAAACAAGCTGCAACATTTGCGGTCAAGAGAAGCGTCATATAATAAAAATAATAATAATAATAATAATCATGAACGTCATCGAATGAATAAATACAGCTTACCAGTTTAATTAGTTGTGAGGCTAAGAATAATGTTAAAATATCGGGCCCAGACCAGGAGAAATTGGCCAAAAGCGGGAATAATTTTACAATCGATGCATGATCGCCGGCCGGTGGCTGAACCACCGAAGCACGACGTTACGCCGACGTTACGACCAGCAAGTTGGTTAACGCAAAGACTGGATGCAGGCGGACGTCAGTGTGCACTCTAAAGGCTACCCGTCCGAGATCACCAGGGAGGGTGCATCTATGAGCTCTGCGTGGTGCATAATGTGAGGAACACCCTCCCGTGCGCTTATATCTGCGGCGCTGGGCGTGCGCAATGAGCGCAGCCACAGGCGTGAGTGACGTCCGGCTCAATAGCGACGGGCAAGTCAGAACATAACACTGCGAGCAGCCGTCGTTCTAGGCAGCACTCTGGATGAAAGTGTACGAGAGCGGCTCATCGCATGCGAGGGAGAGTGCCGATCGACGGCACTCGCGTCGGGCAGCAGCCCGCCTGGGACTCTCCCGAACCGGCGATGCGCTCTGCGCCACCGCACCTGTCAGCACGGTTCCGTCAAGCCGCGCATCTGGACTAGGCGCTCCGCAGACGAAGATGAACCTCGAGGATGAGCTCGCATCCGCAGCGGCAAATGGAAACACCGGGATAGTGGGACGTTTGCTCCAAAATGGAGCTGATGCTAACGCCGCAAATAGCTTTGGACGGACGCCGCTGCAGGTTGGTACGCCTCTGCGTGTTCCGCCGTCCTGTTCGTCAGGTGCAGCTATGGAGTACCCAGAGAGAATAACCGATGTTTTATTAGTTGGCATCCGAATCATGATATAATGGTATATCTGTAAGTAATACAAAATACTGTTGTGTTTATGTTCTGGTTTGGTTTCTTTTTCAAACTATGTAAACGTCACTGACACCTGAACACTGGCAAACATGTTTTTACTCTTCAGGACCCTGTTATAGCCTATGAAAGCGTTCTGAATAAAATGACCGCAAAGCAGTTTATTTGTTTGTGCATTTAATCTAGTTTGCCTTTAAAATGAAATAACATTATTTTGCGTCACATGTATGTCCAGTTATGCGCTCATGTGACGTTATGTTAAACGTCATTGCCAATCATGCTGCTTGTACTATGCGTGGTGTTTAACTTATTTAATATATCGATCTTTACAATTTTCTTTGTCGAAAATATTAAGGATCTGTTATAGAATACTGTCGGGGCACGCCCACTTCGAAAACACTTTCACCTTTAACTATACGTGAGTATCTACGCGAGTTTTTATGAGTGAATAATAATTACGTTATTTGCACTGTACACGAAGCCTTTTTTTTGTGCAAAATGTCTGAAGCAGAAAAATGCACGCAGTATTTTTTACAAAAGCCCGGATAGTTTAGAATGAAAACCGCAAACATACCAGCCACCAAATCCATCCTTAATTTGAGGGTGTTGTTAAATGAACCTTCGCGTAGGTAAAGTGGGAAGTTATCGTCCCTATTTATATTAAATACATTAACTTCGAATTATTGCGTTCGTGGCCAAAAAGTACACTTAGTTAACATAAATTGTATAATTGTATTGTATTTAAAATGAGTTGAAATGTATGAAGTACAGTCGTTTAATTAGGATTGAAATATTTGTCGGATTAATTTTGTGTGTTATTTATAGATGTCTTTCAAAACTCGCACTCCGTTAATGTAAAATTAATAACTCATCCTTTATCCGTCCTGTAATTGATTTAAAGCAACGATGGACTAATGTGGTATCCTTTGTACAGATGGACTCTAGAAGCAAACACAATCTCAAATGTGTATTTCATTGCACAGGTAGCGATGATGGGGAGTTCAGCAGTGGTCAAGTTATTGTTGGAAAACGGAGCGGATCCGAACAAGCCGGACAATACCGGCACTACGCCCCTGCACGACGCCGCCAGAGATGGATTCTGCGACACGGTGCAGATTTTGGTCCAATATCATGCTAATTTAAATATGAGAGACCAATGGAATCGCCGACCAATTGATCTCGCTAGAGAACATGGACACCAAGATCTCGTGGCTTTTCTGGAATCATTATAATATAATATTAGGTTCTATCTATTTAAATTCAGTGCTAAACATTAGTTTAAATCAGCGTTTAAATATGTAAACCGAATTGCTAATTTATGGAGACAGCATTACTTTTTCTTGTGTTTTTTTATTTATTCATGTATTGAATGCATATAATTTTAAAAATACATTAACGGTTCAGTTCTTTAATTAAAATTGTATGTAAACATTTGTAGAGTGATTGAACATCTATTATAACTCATATTTAATAAACCAATGTAGTACTTTGTACTATAAAATTTATTACAAAAGTTTATGAGTCGCGGAAGTTTGATACAGCACTAGAGGGGAAAACAGCCACTTGTATAAAGATTGCTTTTTATGACAGCCTTGTATATTGTATTTATGAAGTCATAAACTTAGCGATTAATAGAAACTAAAAATGCAGCCGGGTTACGTAATGCGTTTAATTGTGTTTTTACACCTTGCCCCTGTATTGATTTGTATCTCATGCTGAGTTCAAGCATCAGTGTAGTTGATGTGAATGTCTATCGGTAAATACATTATAAAGTATTTTTTATAAATTGATCGTACTATGACCGATGGACTAGGTATTCAGAACTATGCTTGATGTATTCCAGGTATCAGTAGGATATACGTACGATTGTATAGACGACGTGGTAGCGTGCATGAGGGTTGTTTGAACCTAATTTGAAAATGTTGGAATAAAATACGAAGTGGTTATTACCTTTCAATAGGCTACGTCACCGAACCGTTTCACTTCGGTTCATTTGATTAGTCAGTAATATTCCGGACAATTATTGTATATCCTTGACAATAATATAGGCCTAATAACAACTGTAATTTTTCCACCGCTTTTCCTTGTGGGAGTCGCGGTATGATATGATATAGCCTAATAGCCTAACCCAGCCAAATGCAGTAATAGGCTATATAACTTAGTAATTACTTTATATATGGTTCTGATTAAGGTTGAAAATATCTAGATTACTGATGGTAAATGTAATGTAAAGCTTTGATTATAACCTGAAAAGTGCGTTTAATGAATCAGTCTATCGGTGGACATTGTATTGGCAACTCGCGGATTTTTAAGCGGATAAACAAATAATTCCGAGTTCCACGAAAGATTAAAAACTTTATGTACAGACTATATTAGTATAATGAAACTTTATGTGGCAAAAATAAAGCCGATAACATCTCAAATTCGTTATAAAATTATAAGATGACTTCATTGCATTTTTCAGCGACTTGTATCGAAAGTGATTTAGAGTGCAGTGAAGTGTTACAGTTTTATGTGTGTTTCCCAGGATTTAGAACCGACATTTTTACATAGCTAGCGTAGTGCTTTGCTGAGCTGCAGGAGCTCTAAGTATATTACAAATAATTAGCCGAATTAATCATTTGCATTAGTGCCTGTTTAATGAAAGGGGCTCTAATCCTGCTAAATGTCGCCATCATGGAAAATGCATTTAAGTGAATTTCACAGTATTACTAAAAAATCAGATTCTTACATCTGCTAAGCGTATAACCGGTCCAAAAGAAAGTAACCGTACATGGCTCAATTATTGTTCGTTTTAATGGAGATGATAGACAGATAGATGATAGATAGATAGATGATAGATAGATAGATGATAGACAGATAGATGATAGATAGATAGATGATAGACAGATAGATGATAGATAGATAGTGCATAAAGTGCACAGATAAAAACCCACAGTGACAGGTTCAATTATGAGCGAAGACAGACACACTGCAAACAAGATTGTGCAAAAGTGAACTTAACAAGCGATGTAGGCTACATGAAATATACATAGTAATACACTCTCTCCCGTATCCGAACTGCCGTTTAAAATCTCCTTTACATGTTTATGTCATTAATCATCTGGAGAGGCGGCATGCCCTTCGTTTTGTTTTGTGACTTCAAGCACGAAAGGGCGACGCCCATTCCCTCCGGCGGGTCACGCCGCTCAAGCTGCTTGCACCACGCAAAACGCAGCCTGTGCGCGCCAAAAGCAGAAAAATGTCATCTTCCGGTTAATGACCAGGGTTTCTCGAAACGAGAAATACCCAAAATAAATATGCATTTTCGGAATAAAAATGAAAATGAAAAACATGGTCCGAAACCCAAAGTATTAAATATTGAAACTCAACAAATGCCATCTTTGGGTTAGTAGATATAAATTACAAAACATTGCTGATCAAGCCATTTCACGTGTGGATCTGAGCACTGAGTGTACTCTCTTAAGGGTAAATTATGTTTTCCGAATTTCTTTTCTGATAGAAGGAGTAATCAGAGTGGTTAGCTGAGAAATAATATAAATAACATATTGCCTTTATCCGTGGTTCACAGTATGCAAACCTTATTTCAGTCACAAGTAAGGCTGTATTATTTATCGCCAGGATGACAGCCCAGATGCACAATGATAAACCTGACAACGTTCTTTCTTACTACAGTCATTAGTTCAGGATACTCATTTTTATGAACAGGACCATACATGGGGGATCAAATGGCAGTATTCAAAGAAACACAAAATTATGCAAAGTGAGTTTTATTCGTTATAATTAGTTGCCGTACAAAGCGTTTGTTATTAATGCACATTCAAGTCAGATGCTCAGTCCTAAGGGAGTGCCTCGGAAGTATCTACTGTAAAACTGGAATTGCGAGCCGTCAATCAAAACCTGGCAAAAACACAAAAACGAAGAGCCGTTTCTCCGACTTTGTTCCTAATGTTAAATCAGCAGCACGGGGTAAACGGCTCATTCTAGCTAATACGCGTTTAAACCATTCCCTCTGTGTCAGTGCCAGGATAATGGTACAGTGGTTACCATGCATCATTTAAGCAATAACGTACGTGTTTATGTATATAAAAAAAATCAAGGCAGCATCTTCAATACTACATTTTACGGCGCCCCTGAGGGTACCCGTGCAAAAAAACTCGCACCCACGACGTGCTTTACGCAAAATTCCCTTCAGGGGCTCCGTAACATTTCTAATGAATACTATACTTAAAAGTAACAAAATCGTTGATCTGAGAGGCAGGAAACAAGCAGACAGACGTGCAGACAAAACGGCAATACTTCTTCTAATCGGTAAAGCGGCGCGCGGCCATGGTTGGGGTCTGCAGGCCACGTGACGGCGCATCGTCCTTATTGCTTCGGAAGCATTATGGAAGCTTGAGCTGTGGACTGAAATAAAAACCCGTCATCAAACAACAATAATAACAGCGTAAACACTGTGCCCTTTAAATGTAATTCTTACGTGACAACCGCAATACGTACGTCATAGCTTAATCCCAAGTTAAACCGATACCGAATAACTTCTGGGGCATCTGTTATCTGTCTGGCGCGAGCAGGCATTTATTGCATCCGTGTGGGCAAAGTATTAACTTACTATCTATCAACTACCTGTCTGCTGCGGGAGGAGTTCACGCTGGTGCAGCGTTACGAAAGGCTCAGCGAATTAAGGGAGGTTAATTTGCTATGAAACTGGCACATGCTTGCACTTGTGGGGGGTTAGGGTGATCCGGCAGGTGCCGGTTTGCAAATCAGGCCATGTTGACGTGAAGAAATATGTCTGGATTCCTTAATCTGATAATTGCAGAAGATGGATATTAGACCGGTGCTGATTAACTATGGAATTTCAGACAGTCAGCTTTTTTCCAAAGTACGCCGGAGTAATTTACCCCAAATAAAAACAGAATAACTATGATACAGCGGTAAAAATCTGTTACGTCAAAGCGGTGATAAACATGACCTGTGATTGCTCGTTAAATTCCAACATAAAATAATTAAGCTGTAATTGTAAGGCTATACTGTTTCTCCCAGATAACGAGCATTATAAACAAACAACAAAAAACAAGTCCATTACCTTGCTGTCTGACATGAAAATACACAGCAGACCACGTGAATTATAGGAATAATGGAGAAATCTGAAGTGAGTTAAAGTACTTCCCTCCCCAGCGGAGGGTTACTGACCGTGGGCACTTACCCGCTTGCAGTCAATAATCCCGGACCAATCCATCATAGATATGAGGGGGATGGCGGAGAGCAGGATGCTGCTGGCTTTGCTTGCGTTCTCCTTCATGGTCTTCAGCACGTTGTCCACACAGACCTGTTACACATCGAGTCACATGGCGAGTCGAAGTGAAAGCGCCTGAATTGTTATCTACAGCTATATGATCCATGGCTCATATACCAAGATGAAACCTCAATCCTGTTGGTCATAGTGCAAGACAACGGTAATAAACGGGACATAAATATGTTAAACGTGAAATGCAGAGACATAAAACAGAGGAAAAGGCAAAATACAGTTTAGCAAATGGACAATGAAACTGAATGTGGACGAATGTGCAGTGAATAGATTTTGGTGAGAATTTTTTTAAAGGCTCGTAATGGTGTATCTGGTGGGAGGGGTGCATTTAAAAAGGGGGGGGGGGGCTTGTTGGTGCCAAAGTTGTTAAACTTCCCCATTACAGCAGCTGCCAGTCCCTCCAACAAATAAATTGCCGCGAATGTGCACTGTCTCCCCACGGCGCCTCCCAGTGAGAGGGAACGGGACTGCAGGCGAACGTGAGCGGCGCAGGGACAGCAGCTAGACAGCGACGGGCCGATAAGGGGGAGCCGGAACCTGCAGGACGGCATGCATCCGTAAGGAAAGCCACGGGGCAGAGTCCAGTGCAGGACGGGCCGCATAGTTTCAGTGATGCGCTGAGCAGTACTGGTTCTTCAGCCACACCAGTGACTTTCACTTTCACTTCGTGCGGCTTCGCACAAACTGGATCACCAAGCCCTACAGATCATCCAAAATGACTGTCACCCGTGTGGGTGTGGGATACGGCTCAGCGGGTTTGGACAATGTGACTGTGATCGGAAGGTCGCTAGTTCAAATCCCCTGATCGGTAGAGTGATTTCGCCGTTGCGCGAAGCCCTTAATGCCACAAGTGCTTTGGGTGAAAGCATCTGCTAATTAAGTAAAATGTGAACAGTGACGATGTTTTCACCGAATGTACAAGGTGTGCCGGCCAACATGCATGCAAAGAACCAAAAACATCTAAAGAACTAACCACGTGTATATGGTGAGGGTGATTTATTCAGTACATTTTTACATTTTACTTAGCAGACACTTTCACTGAAAGTCTCTTTTTTTTAAGAAAAGAGGGTCAGACAGTCCCTGGAGCAATTTGGGGTTAAGGGCCTCGCTCAGGGGCCAACGGTGACATCACTCAGCCGACCCTGGGATTTGAACCGGCGACCTTCTGATCACAGGCATAGAGTCCTCGCCCGCTGAGCACACAGGTTTAGTAAAACGTGTTTAACCCACAGTAGGCTATGAATGGGATAGAGACGAGCCCCACCAGCTGCCTACTGGGCTGCTCCCGCGCCGCAGCCGTGGGTGGGGAGGGCTGACCCGGTGGCCTGGAAGGCGAATCGCTGTGACTCAGCCTCCGCGGATCCGGGGATGGAAGGAAGGACAGAAGGAAGAATGTGACGGAAGTGTAGTGTGGGTGTTTCAAAAGCGGGGGGGAAGGAGGGGCACCCAGAGGTCAGTACAGTTTGATACGTAAAGGCATGCAGCCCTTAAGGTGGGCGACTGGGTCTTTCCGGGAGGGGGGGGAGGGGGGTTTGCTGACTGGAGGGCGTCTCCCCAGCTTTTACAGCAGTTAAAAACCAGCTAGCTGATGAGGTGCATTTTATTTGTATATCATTTTCAAATGTCATTTTGAAAGTTTTTATGTATTTTAGTTTTAGGTCAAGTTTCAGTAATTTTATTTCTACAGACTGATTGGAAGTTGTAGAGCTAGTTTACGAGGATCCTACATGAATACACAGTGCAAATTACGTACTAATGTCCTCAAAGTGAGCAAAACACGGTCCAGGAATTATTATTGGTAATTAAAGATAAATAAATCATTACTTTAGCTAAACAGTATTTAAAACAGCAGTGTTTGGACACAATATTTATGGTTTTGGTGTAGCAGTAGTTTTTTTTATTTTTGCATGTTATTCCCATTTACGAGAACGTTATTTTTGTTCGACAATAACCCAGATTATGTGGGGGGCATCGAGGCGCAAACACTAGGCAAAGAAACGGGCACAGACAGGCTATGTGGTGTTACTCTGAGGTGCAACATCAGCATTGTGCAACACAAGCGTTATGACGGGGGGGGGGGGGTCACGGTGGCGTGGTCAACTACCGGGGGCTTATCTGAGAGGGGGGAGAGCCTAGCGCACTCGGCCTGCCACACCGCTGAACAGAGCCACTGCGACCCCCAGGCTGGGCCTGTGTGCCACCAGTGTAAACAGAGCGAGCCTGGAAGCGGGGAAGGCGGACTTTACTCAACGCAGTGCGGCTCCCTTCCGAGGAAAAGGGAAACTGTCCTGTGAGCCGCGGCATCACAGATCGCGGCTGCATCTTGCCAGGTCATCGCCCAGAGCGCCGCGCTCCTGCCTGAAGATACTATCTGCCTTCCTGAGCCACTGACTCCGGGCAGCGGGCAGCAGGCGCCAGTCCCCGCTTGTGCAGGAATTCCGCGCTTTAGAGTACGACTCTCCTTGCAACACTCCTCCTTTCCCCGGACGGCCTCGCCGAAGCTGCGTTACGCCCACATCTTCGCTCCCCTACCACACTGCGTACATCAGTGTTTCTCAACCCAGCCCTCAGCGAACCCCAGCCAGTCCACGTTTTTGCTCCCTCCCAGCTCCCAGCGCACCTGTACCAGCTATTCGGTGTTCCTGATTGGCTGGGAGCCAGGAGGGAGCAAAAACGTGGACTGGCTGGGGTTCGCTGAGGACTGAGTTGAGAAACACTGGCGTACATCTTTAATTAAATGCCGTTAAAAAAAAGCATTTGGTTTAATTTTATTCGAGTCACAAAATTCATCGTGTGCTTTTTAACATGCAATGACTTTACAGTACTTGAAGCAATGAGGATTTAGGGCCTTACTCAAGGGTCCAGTGGTGATATCACTCTGCAAACCACAGGATTTGAACTGGAGATTTGAACCTTCTGAACCCAGACACAGAGACTCAAGCCGCACACTAACCTCCACGGGCAGCTCATCAGATATCATTGGTGAAGCAATGTGTTAGAATGAAGGCCTCAGGGACCAGGATGGTGGTCCGTGACAGGGTGGCGTGTGCATGTAGCATGCAAATGTGCTCTCTCTCACACATACACGCATGTGTCTGCACACACACACTGCCTTGATTTTATGGGTCCCATTGTTACGCAAACACTGTTCAGGATTGACGTTCCAGGATAAAATAAGAACCACAGCAGACTAGGAGCCATTACAGGGAAAAACCAGCTGGAGCTCAGATTCCCCCCCCCCTCCCAACCCCGCCCCCCACTCACCGCCTCCTCGTGCTCCTTCCAGCAATCGTAGTCCGTCGCCATGGCAATACTAGCGTAGCACAGACCGGCTTCATTGGCCAGGACCACCTCCGGCACGGTGGTCATGTTGATGACGTCAGCACCCCACTGGCGGAGCATCAGACTCTCGGCACGGGAGGAGAAGCGGGGCCCCTCGATGGACACCATAGTCCCTTGGGGGTGACACTTCACCTCCAGGTCCCGTGCCACCTCCAGAAGGACCTGCAGTGGACAGCAAGCCGAGGAAAAGGATGATGGGAGGGATCAGGATTCCCTTGTGGGCGGGATTACTGCGTGGGATCAATGAGCTTATTGGCTGCTCTGAAGCTAAGCCGGACTGTGATTGGCAGCTGATAGTAATCCCACGCCTGAGGGCTTTTAAAGCCTCATCCATGAGACCAATCCCATGATTCATTGCGCCCCAAGTTTGTTCTTGCAAGGCAAATTAGCACGACTGCTCTTGCCGAGACCACAAATACGATCTCTGCGTTCTTGGTACTGAGATTCACCCACTGCTATAAACGATGGTTGAGGGTTGCACTGGGGGTGCTGGGACACTATCATCGCAGAAGTGACATGACAGACTCACCTGCCTGGTCCTACTGCAGAAGGGGACGGCCATAGGAATGTGGCACACCCCAGGGGGGCTTGTGGGGCTTCCATCATAGAAGGTCTGAATCCTTTTCGTGGTTCTGACATGGGGTGGGGGGGGGATGGGAGGAGAAGTAAACAAGAAAGAATCGATGCTTGCTTGAGTGCAGCTATCTCCATCTCACCGCAGTGCCAGTGGCGACATCGTGCTGGCGGCAGATAGGGCTCTGAAGGGATCAGTCACGCTCGAGAAGCTCTCGCACGCAGACACACATGCCGGCAATGTGACGCCCTGCAGCAGACAGGAGACGGGGCCTCTGTGGGCCAGCCGGATGCAGGATAATTAACCCCCGTTTTCGCCCGTCACACCGCACCGAGTCGCCAAGCTGACGAAACGATCAGAAAACACGACATGAGGCGTAACCTTGGTGTGCTGCCGCCCCTCTTCCCCGCACTGCCCTCGGTGGATTTTTAAAACAACTGCCGCACAGGCTTCCACGCAAAACACGCTCGGCCAGAATGTCCAGGTGAGGGAGGCCGTGACCGGCTCCGACACAACAGCCGCCACCCAGTTCCCGCTCTGCCAGCCCCTGTGTAAACATACTGTCCCGGCACCCTGCCCTTCTCGGAAACAAACCCCTCCCCATTTTGAGGCTTAAACATGAGTGCGGAAGATGACAAAAAGATCAGAACTCCTACCCCTTTGACCAGAAGGTTGTGGGTTCGAGACCCATGACAGAGAGACGAGTCATCTCACCATTAGATGTCTGTGTGTCTCATGGAGAGCAAGACAGGATTTACAGAAAACACTCAATTTCCCCACGGGGCGGAATAAGGTACTGCTCTTCTATTCTAAACAAGGGACTTTTGTCACATTCACTCTGCGGCTGCCCGTCGCCGAGTCAGGGTGACAGTTGGTGGCATGGGTATTCGGGTGTGGCCGGCGGTGTTCATCACAGGTCAACCCTGAGGGAAGAGAGGTCCTCCTACGAGACGCGGGCGTCACGCCGAAGATGGGCGGGGCCCGCTTAAACGCTTTCACTGGGCGTTTCCGTGGCGAGGCGGAGGGAAGCACGCCAGCAATCTGCTGCCAAACCACGTGGGCACTTTTAATCTAATATTTATGGGACACAAAGGACACCAAGTTAGGGCAACACTTCGCTTGAAAGTTCAGTCGCCTTGCACCTGTAAATGGATATAACATTTAGATATGGCTGAACTGAGCAATGACGGAGCAACTCCCCCCCCCCACCACCACCACCCAGATACAGTCGAGAAAGCTTCCCAGCAAATTCCACGTTAGATCAAAACAGCTGATGCACAGAGCAGACAGGAATCCTTGCTTCAGATGTCTTTCACAGATCTAGGGCTGCCACATGCGACTGTTTTGGTAGATCATGGAAGCGATGAGCATTGAAGTCAAGAAAAGAACAGCTCAGCAACCACGACATCTTTTAAAAGAGGAGATATTGTAGGTAAACAAAGCAAAAAGACGGAGGTCTGGTGCTGCTTTTTGCCGATTAAAGTCTGACACTTTTTTTTGTAAATACAGTTTTCATTATTTCATGAATTATTATTATTTTTTACAAACACACATTGGCACAGTCAATCCCAGATTTTACCTACACATTTTCTCAAACACTTATTCAATGGAGTTTCCAAGCTAGCAGGCAAAGAAAAAAAGCTCTCCGTACTAAAAGATAATTTAATAAACATGAACGGACAACACTCACTGGGTCATCGACTACATCGATTAATCGCGACAGCCCTACACAGATCGAGATGTGCGAATCATAAACACGTTCGTCTGGCCTGGAATTATGGGAAACCCTCATTAGATCTGGAAGCCCAAAGTGGACAGACGAGATGGGGTCATATGACGGCTACCCCTAGGGATCAAAATGCAAACAAATTATGATAAACCATCATGTCATGACTATCAATATAAAAAGATGATCTATGGAGAATTAATTGTATATATACCACTGTTTGTTTTCAGGCCTAAAGCTATTGGCTATTCTCTTGCTAATCCAGAAGACAGGCTTATAGAGATTTTTATCAAATATTTACATACTACCATAACTCAAAAATTAAACACACAGAGTCCTGTGATCTGTTCATGCCTAATAGGGTGTCAAGAGGATATTAATTTGGGCAATGCGCCAAAAGAGGAGGGGCCCACAGTGACTCAGTAAATCAGGCCACATGTTGGCATTAGTCAAATGATTCAGCACAAGTCCAGACATGCCCCAGCAAGTTGAGCACCCAGACCTCACCGCTGGAAGAAAGGGGGAGCTGGTCTGTCGCCGCGGCAACGCTTCCTCATCTGCGGTGACTGTTCTGGGAACGCGGCCGAAAGATGCCACTGATTTTACCGACGAGGTTTTTCTTTACGCAGTCTGCAGAGACAGCGGGTTTATTAGATTTTAGTTTAAAGGGACAGGGGAATGAGGGCAGAAGGAGGTGATGTTGGTATCGCAAGGCGCTGTTCCGCGATAAAAAAAGGCGTGCGACACTCGTGGGCGCGCATCTCACACACACACGCACACAGGTGCACAAAAGGACATTAGAGAACAGAATAATTTTGCTGAAATAAGGGAAAACCTCTGGTATGCGTATGAGGGGGGTGGGAGGTCAAATAAAAATCCGGAAGAATGGTAGAGTCTCATTTCCTCTTTACGGAGAAAGCGTGACTTAAACCAAACTTAAATCAAAACAGCATTTCCATCACAGGAACACAGAGAGAGGAAGTAGGATTGGGGCTGAACAAATAAACATAGAATGAGAGGATCTCTAATGAAAAAGCGAGTGACCGTCTCTGTAAAACAAAAAGGAGGGACATAAATCTACTGGGGGAAAAAATATCCCAAATGAACATTGGAGGCCAAAATATAAAAAGTATTTAAATGGGGAGAGACGGGAAAAGTGCAGGGTGAGTCGGATAGCGAAGCGCAGCAGCCTGGATGTACTATTCTTAAAAACTGGAATGACTTTAAGGACGGAAAGGCATGTTGCTGTCAGACACTGCATCTGTGATGTCACACTGCAACCCAGCTTCCCAGACTGCAGATCCTAGGGGCCCTTGGATGATCATGGTCACTGGTTATCACTTCAAAGTCAACATTCAAACACACGATGCAGTAATAGCCCCCCCCCCCCGCAGCATGTGCGATTGGCCGTTATTAACGCAACAATGCCGCTCGTCCGGATCGTCCCTGCAGAATCTTCCACGCTGCCAAGAATGTTAGTCAGCCTGAAAGTTACAGTTTGCCACCTTGTGTTGTGTAACATCAAACTTCAGTTTCCTAATTAATTCCCACAGGTCAAACAGGTTCAGTGGCCTTATTTATTATTAAAACTGCTAAAGTCTTCCTTATATGGCATCACTGGATCAAACGAGAGTCACAACTAACTCAGTCACAAATTAGAGAGTCACAAATAAGTCTTATTAACTACGGAAGAACTAAAATCAAGTCTTCAGTATTCCTATGAAGATTGGTATATAAATAACCGTTGGAAATAAATTTGTATAGCAACTGCAAAAATGCTTTTGGCAGAAATTGTTTCTGACTATGCGGAAAGCAGACATATGTACACGGCGCCAGTAGAATCGCGGTGACCGATCGCCAGGACACTGGGCGGCAATTCAAGCGTCACGCAGAACCCCAGATTTCAGGAGAGTAAAAGTTTTGGGGCAGGTAAATAAATGCTCTGCTGTCGCCGTCAACGCAATTAAGAGAAAACACAACGCCATGACAACGTGGCCCGAGGGTCACGCTGTAAAGCGGCAGGCAAACGAGCGATTAAAAAATAAAAAAAAAACAAGTGAAGAGAGAAGGTGACGTAAGAGCCGCTCCCTGCATACCTGTCGATAAACTGGTCGACCAACACAATGTGACCAGGCTGGATCTCCTCCCGGAGGGAGCCACAGGCGGTAGTGACCAAAAGATGCGTGCAGCCCTCGTCTTTCAGTGCCCAGATGTTGGCTCTGTAGTTCACGTTGGAAGGCATTATCGTGTGCTGCCTGCCGTGCCTTTAAAGATGGTGGGGGCAAGGTAATAGGTCAGGGAGGGGAGAAAAACTTCCTAGAAACTTTTATTCTAGCAGCATATAAAATACACCAGACACTATTCCATTCACCTACACCCTGGTACAGTTAATCAGATGAACGAAGCCTCACTGCCACAAGAGGGCACTGTGACTTAGAAAACAGATATCATTCTCAACAGCTCATCACCTGAGAGCAAGACACACTCCATCATCTATTACCTTGCCAGCAGTACACATTCGACGTTTTTAATCTTCCCCAGTATGAGCACATCTGAAGGCTGAGACAATGAGACAAGAGGGGAAAAAAAGAAAAGCATTCATGAGATGTATACAATATATCTGCAGGGTTGTCTCTCAACACCTGTCCTACGATCAGAGTCACCACCGGATACGGCCGAACACAAACCTCCACTTGGGTGTGAACGGGTCAGTCTGGCTGGTGGTTAAGTTTAATGTCAATCAGCAACAATGGCTATATCATGGCAAAAAGGTCAAACAAATAAATAATTCAACAAGAAACTTCAAATAGGAAAAAGATAAACAAAAACAGAATTTACCAAAGATTCTTTAAATTAATGTTTGATAAAAATTCCAAAACTTCATGGGCTGGTACCTTATTAAAAACATCCACCAGATGGTTTTGTCAGTAAAATCGCTGCCTTGTATTACTGTTTTGTTTCACTGACAGGGCCAGATTACAAAACGGATATGATGGGGGCTCCTAGTCTGGCTGGTGGCGTTAGAAGCATTTTTCTGCTTCGCTATTGGCTATTCGCCACCTCAGGATTACTCCCTTTCCCCAAATTACGCCGATGACTCAATACCGACACCAAATCTGCCTCCATTCCACCCATCCAACATGGAGGTTACAGCAATCTGCTTCTACAGGACAGGATATATCCTGTGACGATGAATCATATCTGCACTCTTCATCACTGCAAACACCCACGAATAAACACCGTCTGCCTCGAGTTTCACTGGAACAAACCTTCCCGAAAGGCGTGTCGACATGCTTCTCGGTCCGTCCTTCCAAAATGTCCGGGTCGTCAAGACCAGACCCTCCGATGATGCCGATCTGGACAAAGTGGGAAAAGTCAGACCCCAGCTCACAATCATCAGTCTCCCTGCTGAGCTCACTGACCCCCATGTCCTGAACTTTTATGCGACTGAACCATGACCGTTAAATGAATGTAAAAACATACAAATCCATGTTACTTACTCGATGCATTCGGGAGTTAATTTAAATTTCCCAAAGGCAAATAGTTACCTTGACAATATGTGTTAAATGACAGCTGGTGAACAGACGGCCAGGTGAAAACCAAAGGAAATGTATGTTTTAAAAAATGTCAATATAACAGAGGGAGGGGCTTGGCTCTATCCATGGGCTATACACTGAGCCAGAATCACACAATCAGTGACAGCTCAGGGCTATGGGACGCAAATACGCTGATGTACTAATGTTTATTACACACGTACATATTGGTTTGTGGTAATGTGGCGTTTACAACGGCACTGCATGAACCCAGGATGAGGCACGACATGTCGGGCAACCAGCATAACAAGGGACTGAAACCAAGAGGACCGAAGTAACGGAGAACAAACCGTAATAGTTATTTTAAGAAAACACGAGAAATATCCGATTTTAGTGCCGGGAGCCCGAGGCGGCGTGTCTGCGGGATAGGACTCTGTGATCGGAAAGTCGCCGGTTCAAAGAGAGGGATGCCGAGAGTCTCATCGACAGCAAGGTGCAGGGCTGCCAGATCTTATCGCATCTAGCGTGAGACTCACGCTTTCAGACCCCAAAGCAAGAAATCTTACGACAAATCTATATTATTGTATTATAAACCTAAAACACCATAAGCGTTGGGGCAGTTTGCAAACCCTACAGACTATTTGTATGCATATAAATGAGAGTGCAGACTTGTCTCGAATCGAAAATATCAGTCTAGCCAGTTGGCCAAAGTTGGCAGCCCTGAAGGTGGGACACGTGAAATACCCAGTTTCCTCAGGACAGCAAAAAGTGCCACTGCTTTGTTAAATCCGCCGAAGTGCTCCATTCCACGAGGCTGTACCACGTTATCGGTTTTGTGAAATGCGGAAGCGAATCATTTAACTTTACAGGCAAACGCCAGGTGGCTGCAGTGGACCTCCATCGGCTACCCTAACCGGAACCGCTAAACTCGCGTTTCCTTCTTCAGTTCTGGGAAGTGAATTAAGATGGGAAAAACCTGCAGTTCCAGTGGAGCTCATTACCTTAATACGCATAACAGCCGCCATGGTCACGGGGAAAAGTCTCGCGAGGACACGAAGTCTCGCGCGAAACCGCCAGGATCATTTGCGTTGCAGGAATTACTTCTGAAATCATCGTTAAACTTTTAGATTCATTTCCAAAGTAACTGTCTGCGCCACGCCTGCGTACAAAGGCCAGCAATGCATCGCCTTTGAAAGCTACTTACATTTCCCTCCACGAACTTGACCCGCTTATAATATAATATACAATGCTTGGACTCGGGACTCACGGGTTACGTTCAAGTTCGACAGGGTCATACCGCTTTTTTTTTTTTTTTTTACCTGGGAGCGATGTACTTAATCTAGTTTGGGTAAATGAATATAGAACTCTCATACCACCGTCAGATGTATTAGAAAATGTGCATTAAAGTTTCGTGAGAAGCAGAAATGTAACCAAAGTGCAAAAATGACCTGTTTTTAAAAACTGTTAGACTACTATCACGTGATGCAAAGACACAATTTGTTTGAAAAAATTAAAATTGTACAACATACCTGTCCCTTTTAACTGTGTCCCATAAGCAACTGACATAAGAGATGGACACACCCGCAAATCCCGGCATTAACCTCAGGGCAACCAGGTGTCAACAAACTTACAGTCGGCGTTTTGAATTAAGTAATGTGTCACATTGTGCATAATTTTGGAGAGATGAGTACCTAGAGGAGACTGTACTCTAGGGAACAAAACTGATATAGCTATCTAGGACATTCCATTCAAGGCTTCAAGTAGACATTCCACAGATGGTTCATTCATAGCCAGAAACCACACGCCTCTTATAGAAATCAAAAATAGATTGTTACATCTCCTGGCTATGGTGGCCCCGAAGTGCAAAAATACGAAAAAAAGGAAGCAGAAATACAAGAACGCAAAAAATAAGCATCACAAAACTTCGACAAAACCCGAAGTTGAGAAAACAATTGTTTTATTAATGTTTTTGCTTTCTAGATCTTTTTTGCGCGTTCTTAATCTCTTGTTTTGTACTTCAAGGCTATTGCACCCATCCCATGTCCACTGCGCAAGTGATATATCCAGATTAAACGAGCATCGAAACTTCACTTCATTACTAGCATAACATAATACAGCAGTACGCTAATTAGGCAAAATATTTGCTTATGAAACATTTGTTGCAATTCAGTCTTAATATTCATATGTAATAAAACACATATTTGTGGTCTTGAGGTAAGGATGGCAAACAGTTCCACAATTAGGTCATCTTTGCTATTTGCAGATACCATCGCACTATTGCAGATAGTATCTGTGATGGTGTCTCACAGAGCGGTCGGGACAGGTGTGTCCTCTGAGGTTTGTACTGTAGTTCTTGGAATGTCTCTCCTGGTGCCAGGAATCCCCGGGAACGGAATTGGGTGTGGGACACACACCCAGTTTTAAATACATTTTAAAAGCATTTAAAACTGTCATTTACTTTCCTATAATTGTTTAAACACTGCAGACTATTTTTTACTATTACACAAACAATGTTGATGTACGAGGAGACTGCATTGAGAGATTATCTACTGTGAAGTCTGGTAGTTTGTTTTGGGAGTGTCTGCTGACAGAATTAAAATGGGCAGCCAACCTCTCATCAGAATATGAAGCAGAGAGAAGAGCCTGACACAAGGACAGTAACACAAGGTGAAATGAAACAGGACTGTACAGGTCTGTGAGCTTTCACACATCTGTAAGACATATATCTTTTAAGATCAGTTCATTAATTTCAAATTAAGACACTGCAAGAGGTTTGAAAATGTACGTCTCAGATAACTTGGGCTGGAAAAAAATCTGCATGAGGTAGATGGGGGGGGGGGGTGTCAGAAAACAGCCGAGTGCATTGAGGAGAACAGATTATTTTTAATGATAAATATATACATGTGACGAAGAAACAGGAGGACATTGGCATGAGATTTCCTTGCTGTCCATCTTTGTGTTTAATGGTGCCCGTGACTCTCAGTCTCGGGAAGATCTGGAACAACCTCCCCTGTTTCCAGAACAGTGTCTCCCTGTGAGGAATCCAAAACCAGCAGTCAGACTTGGCACCACTCATGCCATTTCAAGGTTTTACCACAAAAGATGGCCAGGGCAACCTTATATTTACAGCTAACATAATCGTCACCACTGCATTACAAATAAAATACAGCAGGTTAGAAGAAAAATACTTACAGGAAACAGCCTTGGCTTCAACTCAACAATACCGTAGGGTCTTTTCTACAACCAAAGACATAACTACTGTAAGCTGCATGTGAAAAAATCCATATCCTAACGGTTTTGTGCAAAGGGACTAAACATTTGCTGTTGTAGCAGACTCAAAGCCCAATCAACAGGTTATTTTAACATATATTTGCATAATTACTTACACACAGACACACACACAAAACCTAGAATAACCTAACTTTTCGCCAAGCGCAGCGTGCATTTCACGGCACTGCCCCCTTCTTTTGCACTCTTATTTACTGCTACGTTCAAAGAAGTGATAGCAACCGGCCATGTGGAAACTTACCGCTACGTGATACTTGACATAATAGTGCACGATCCAAGCCGGGATCAGCAGCCGTGTGAAAGTGAAGATTCCTGCATTATACACTTTGAACGTCTGAAAATAACAGTATAAAACAAACAGGTAAACAAAATAAGTGTGGCTTATTATCCTCGACGTATTATGACAAGTGCATCCTGATAGGTGTTATTTTACAATCAGTTGGACAAGCATTATTGTTATTTTCAAGCATACTGCACGTTCTTCACAACGTGTAAACATTTACACCTTGCTGCTGTAACGTATGATTGCACACAGCAGCTGTCACAGTAAAGATTGCTGATTTGTTGACCAGTCACTATTTACTCCACCTACCACTGTCAGCAGCCGATTTTCACGGCCAAGTCAACTGGGAAAACGGAACATGCGTACGCATTTACACCAGTAAACTCACATAGAGCCTCCACAGACTTTGCGGCTCCAAAAAGCGGGACCAGAATTTAGCCACGGGTCCGAGCGGTTTGGGCTCAATGACAGGCTCGCGGTGACTGAGCTCCTGGTCTTTCAACCATTGCCTTCTTAGTTTCGTCAGCTGGTCCAAACGAAGCTTTTCGTCCGGCGTATAACCCGACATGCTGTAGACGTGCAAATTCGCAAAACAGTTTCACTTATTAGATAATACAGTTGAAAGGAAGGACAGCATTAGCTGAAGCCCGCAACCTATTGAGGTCACTGTCACTGATTTACTTCCGGTTTCCTTACTCAGAATAGCTTCCGGTGATTATACTGCTTACTTCCGGTGTCACTGACTCAGAATAACTTCCGGTGATTACACTGCTTATTTCCGGTGTTACTGAATTCATGTTTTCCGGAGCACGACTTCTGTTGGACAGGAGGGCAATAACAGCCGTCTTTTTGAATAGCCGCTTCCCTGTAGGTGTGCAAAACAAACCTCGAATCTGTTGAATTGCATACACTTTTCCAAATAAATCATCGATTCGTGTTTTTTTTTTACAAACATAAGGTGAATATCATAAAATCATTTATATATAACCAAAACAGATAAAAAGAAGTTGGGCTTTATGATACAGGAAACGATTTTTGCATTTTGTTATCAAAAACGGTACCTTTTTAAAATTATGACCCAGAAAATAAGACATAACATGTTAAGTCATTTGTCTGTATTGAGAAATGCTGATGCACCCGTGGGTAATATAGATAGCAGTAGCTCTGTCATCTGCTCTGTTCATAACAGAAACGTATCTAGATATGTCAGCACAGAAGGGGAAATGTCAGCGTACACAGTCTCATCCAGTCCCTGTCATCAGTTCAGAGCAGGTGGGTAAAGTTGGCCAGTGAAACTAAGGTTCATTTGACCAGCATAATTTCACTGTACATCAAAGCACTTATTTACCTTATTTTAAGAAGCAGGGAGTAATATAAGAATTTAAATCCGAATGTTCCAATTTTTTCATTGTTGTCACTTAATTTTCCTTTAGTAAGAGTGACTTGAAATTGCTGCGGGGCACGGTGCCTTTAAAATCATCTGGGGGTCCCATTAGCTTCACCCATCAGGGGGTCAGAAAACAAGATAGACCCCCCCTTCCACTTGTCAAACACTACAACTGCCCTGGTAAATTCAAGGCCAAACAAAGTGATGCAAACGGGACAGCAAGGTTAAGGTGTAGATTACGGTTTTTCATTCGGATAAGGTGTCGGAAACCATCTGAGCACATGGAAATCAGATTAAAGAGCCGGAAGTGTATATGAGGCAAGTATGGCACAACACTGCGAGATATTTATTGGCTAAGCCTCCTGAGAATACATGGTACAAAGCTGCTTTGGCCAGACGTTTGGTAAGATGAAGTGAGTTATTTTAAAAAGTGCCCCCCTGAATCTTAAGCTTTCACAACTGCATGATTATGTCATTACCCTATCATTTGCTGCCATGTTTACTGTTGACTTTGACCCCGGCTGGATGACTCTTTGATGGACATCGTAATCAGAAAATCGGTGACACATCTGTGACAGACTGCATTCCTGAGAGGGCTGGCAAATGCACAACTGTTCATTCATTCAGTCGTTCTTTTTTCTGTGGTTTGTTAGATAAATTTGCATCCAGAATGTTGTTCTTCAAACCGTTTTGGGAAATATTTGGGGTATAATTCACCTTATTTTTATAGAGTTATGAAAGTCAAGCTAAAAGAGTTAACTAATAGTTAATTTATTCTTCTGCACTATGTTCAGAAAAGGGTTCACCTGTTTGCTCTGGGGTTACCACAGACAAGCAACTCTTAATGGAAGTAGATAATTGCACTTCTGCTGGATGATCATGCTGCTGTTCCCAGATGATCACGCTGCTGTTCCCAGATGATCATGCTGCTGTTCCTGGATAATCATATTCCTGTTTTTAGATGATCACTGTGTTATCACTGGATCATTACCCTATTAATCATAGATAATCTTGCTGTTAGTACTGGTTGATGATCATTCTGTTCACTCTGAAGAAGGATCACACCTATGCTAGTTTTTTTTCCCTAGAAGCTCTGAGGCCAGAAGACAAATTTAAAAATAGTGAATGAAGATTAAATGCCTTACTATTAATTGCGTATATGTGATATGACATACATCAGTCTGAACTGTTGGAATGTCCTTCTCAAGTGTCTAACTTTCCTGCACCATTAATTACTACACATCAGCAACTGGTTTATATTTAAAACACAGCGGTAGATTAAAGAGAGTCAGGATCACTTGGTGTTTTGCATTATTAGCTCTGTCGCCCTTCACTGGGCTTGAGGTGTGAATTCCTGTGCGAGTCTGACCAAACTATGTGGGTAGGGTGACCAGATAATCCATGTCAGGGAGGACACTCTGAGCTAGGACAGGAATTGTAAATTACAATTTCAATTAAAAGGGTCTGGATTTCACTTGAGCGCTGAGTTCTTGCTGCGTGCTGATTGGTCAGTCTCCTATAATCATGCATGGGCCACTAATGCTAATGTGAAACAGCTGGATGAGTCTTTCAGTCAAGGAAACAAACCAGTCAAAGCACAAGAAGAGCTGAACTATTTAGCCGAGCACAGGAGCCTTTCAGTTTGAAAGTAATTTGTAAAACCCGAAGTAGCTCAAAGTGTCCTGACATGGATTATCTGGTCACCCTATATGTGGGATCCTGACAAGATCATCTGTTTGCAAGACACATGCAGGAAGGGTTAGATCAAATGCAAAGTGAAATGATCCTTTATTTGCAATTTGCACAGCTACATTGCAAAGCTTTTTACATATCCCATATTTATCTCCAGTTTATGACAGACACACAGATATATACAGTGCTGGTCAAAGGTTTGAACACAGCAAGCCGCCTACAAAGGAGAGTGATAGTGTCACGTCACATGACCTGGCCACCTGACCGAGACACAATCGAGAGGGTTTTGGAGAAGTTTGACCAGAGAGTGAGGGAAAAGCGACCAATGAGTGCTCAGCATATACACCGCGTTCCAAATTATAACGCAAATGATATTTTTCTCTGATTTTCCTAAATTGCCGATGCAAATGACAGTCAGCATGATTTTCGAGTCATCAACCGTTAGAGTATAATTCGAATGTTACTGAACAAACCTCCCAATGATAACAGTATGTTTTTTAAAAATAACAAACTTAAAATGCAGCGTTCCAAATTATTAAGCTCAACAGAGTTTAAAAACATTTTATAGGTTGTAAAGAACTGAAAATTTGTCATTTGTTGAATTTGCATCATTAGGAGGTATTACTGAAATCAAAAGCTATTTCAATCAAAAACATCTTAACAGGTCAAGTTACATTGTAACATAGGACCCCTTATTTGATAGCAGCTTCACGATTCTTGCATCCATTGAACTTGTGAGTTTTTGTAGAGTGTCTGCTTTAATTTCTTTGCAGGATGTCAGAATAGCCTCCTAGAGCTGCTGTTTGGATGTGAACTGCCTCCCACTCTCATAGATCTTTTGCTTGAGGATGATCCAAAGGTTCTCAGTAGGATTGAGGTCAGGGGAGGACGGGGGGCCACACCATGAGTTTCTCTCCTTTTATGCCCATAGCAGCCAATGAGGCAGAGGTAATCCTTGCGGCATGAGATGGTGCATTGACATGCATGAAGATGGTTTTTTTATGGTTCTTCTTTTTGTACCATGGAAGAAAGTGGTCAGTCAGAAACTCCACATACTCTTCAGAGGTCATTTTCACACCTTCGGGGACCCTAAAGGGGCCGACCAGCTCTCTCCCCATGATTCCGGCCCAAAACATGACTCCGCTACCTCCTTGCTGACATGGCAGCCTTGTTGGGACATGGTGGCCGTCCACCAACCATGCATCTGGACCATCCAGGGTCGCACGGCACTCATCAGCGAACAAGACTGTTTAAAAATTAGTCTTCATGTAGTTCTGGGGCCACTGCAGCCATTTCTGCTGGCTGGTGGCCAGATAGAAGGTCTATGGTTAACTGCAAGCCTCTGGAGGATCCTACACCTTGACGTTCGCGGGACTCCAGAGGCACCAGCAGCTTCAAATACCGGTTTGCTGCTTTGTAACGGCATTTTACCAGCTGCTCTCTTAATCCGGTGTATTTCTCTGGCAGAAAATTTGTCTGTCACAATTTGCATAATAATTTGGAAAGTGGCAGCAACCATATGAATCCTGAAGAGATGCCCCCCCCCCACACACCAATTTAATTAAAAAAAATATATTTTTTTTTGCTCAGTGCAAAATTCCATATATGTTACTTTATAGTTTTGATGTCTATAATTATTCTAAAATGTAGAGAACAGTACAAATAAACCTTTGTATGGATGGGTATTTCCATAATTTGACTGGTACTGTATGCATCTGAGGGAGAAGCTTGGGGTCTAAGCACAGGGTCATTGATGTATCCAGCACCCTGGAGCATTTGCAGGAGGGGGAGGACCTTGCCGAAGGGCCCAAAGGAGACGTGACTATTCTGCCGAGGACGGGGGTCAAACTGGCAACTTTCTGATGACAGGAACAGAGGCCTAAACCAATCAGCCACGCACTACCACCAAGGCATTGACTCTATGACCCTGACCAGGACAAGAGAGTAGAAGATGGATGTCTGGATATATAGACCATTTATGAAATGTGGTCCTCCGTACTGTCATCGGGAAACAGGCAACCACCTGCACAAAGAAGGAACTCATGGAATGTGTAGGTCTCTCCATCTCTGCACCTCATTTTCTATCATTTATATCCTGTTTATGGTCACTTCCATTGGCACTGCCAGCCACTGAGGTCCGCAAACTCTGCAGAGCCTGTGGCGGTCCCCGCCCTGGGCTGATTTAACTGCCCCCGTGCCGCACTCAGGGGACACTCTGTGTCCTGAAACCCAACTCCAGCTCCAGGACCTCAAGATGAGATTCTTACGGTCTGGGACGCAACCCTATGCCAGCAAGCCCCCGGGACAGGAAATGGGGCTCACACTGAAGGAACCTCCAACAACAGCAGTTGCAAGTTTGGAGAACGACAGAGGCTGTCCCAAAATAGCCTCCGTCCTGCTCAGTGACCTGGCTCATGAAGGATGCCTTCAGATCATGCATTGCAGCACCGCAGATCACAACAGCACCTTCTACAGAAAATACCAAGTGCTCCACAAGTCAGGCTGCTGGGTCACCAGTGAGCCATCAGGGGTGACAGTGACAATTGTAGCACTGCCAATCGCTTAAGCAAAACTCAAACTGCACACACATAGATTCGCTAATTATGACATTTAAGGGATTAAAAGACTCATGCAGTCTTCCATCTTCCAATCGCTTATCTTGGTCAGGGTCATTCTGGGTAGCATAGGGCACACGGCTGGGCTACGCCCATGATGGGATGCCGGGCTATCGCAGGACACATGTCCACAAAGTCATGCTCAGCAGCCAATTCAGAGATGCTGGTTAGCTTGATTGTCTTCCAACTGCAAAAGGAAACTGAAGAACATGGGAAGAACATGCAAACTCCTGAAACACACAGAGTGGGGTGAGAGCCATCATGCCAGTCAAAAAACAGAAGAAGAAAGACATGAAGATCCAGTCAAAAGTTTGGACATGCCAAGCTGTCTACCAAGTAGAGTGATACTGTAGCATCACATGACCTGGCCACCTGACCTAAACCCAGCAGAGATGGTTTTGGAGGAGTTTGACCATAGAGTGAAGGAAATGTGGCCAGTGAGTGTTCAGCATATATGTGGGAGCTCCTTCAGGACAGCTGGAAAAGCATCCCCAGGAGGCCACCTCATGAAACTGGCGTAGTGGAGACAGTAGGGTCAGTCAGCCCCTGGAGCAATTGGGGTTAAGGGCTCACTGAAGGGCCCAATGGTGGAATCACTCTGCCAACCCAGGGCTTTGAACCAGCAACCTTCTGAGTCCAACCCACAGAATTGAACCCTTCCTAACAAATAAATTTTTTGGTTTAGTACATTTTTGGTCAGTGCAAAATTTCATATATATTATTTTATAGTTTTGATGTTTATAATTATTTTAAAATCTAGGGAATAGTATAAATAAACCTTTCTACAAGTAGACTGGTCCAAAATTTTGACTGGTACTGTAGATGAAACCATATGCTGCCATTGATGAAAATGAAACGTGACAAAATCAGCAACAAATTAGTTGTGTCTTCACTGCAAACTCAGCTTATTTATAGTCCTTTATCCACCCCATTTTTAGGATTTACTGCAAGCCATCACATAGAGCTGACTGCCTGGGTGCATTGGTTCAGTCCCATGGGAGGCTCATGTGAGGGCTGACTATTCATCCAGCCTAAAGTGTTACGTTACTCCAGGAATCGGATTGCCTCAAACTCGCCTAGTAACCGGCTTCTGCAGGCACATTATAACCGTGAACCCCACCACTCGTGACCTGGCCCCTGTACTTCATTCAGGTACGGCTGAGAGTTTGTCCTGTGTCCCCTAGGTCATCCAGGGGACACCTGGATGAAGGCATCCATCATTGCACATTAACGCCAATGACTCTGCCATAGGTGCTAACGGCTGCCTGTATTAAACACCTAGATCCTTTTCCTAGATGGCATTGCAAGACTTTGGTAGGGCTGGACCCAAGAGACTCTCCCTTCTATATTTATTGCAGGTTTGGATAGGCTGTAAGGCGTAGCCCGGACTGCCAAGCAGACGGAAGTGCTTCGGATGGATGGCATCGTGCCCGTGAAACCCAGTCCACACGCTGTTTGTTCAGCAAATGCTAAAACCGGAACGTGAGCAAAGTTGTGGGCGAAAAACATAAACAAGCCCAGTGAGGGAACAATGAGCAGCCCAAGTTCAGTAACACATGCAAGGTCGTCTTCATTAGGTGTCCTCTATGATATTATTATCTCCAACTCGCAATGGAGGACGAACGCCGTTTAGCAAGAAAGACTTGCTAGTTCTGACTAACCGGTTGAGTGGCTTTAGATGGAACGTCTTGATTGAAGGTGCCCGTTAAGACCCCAATGTCAATGCTTTGGGGAGAACTGAATTTGGCCAACAATTGGCCAAAAAATCTGTGGCAATAAAGGGGGGTGAGGGTGTGTGCAAGCTGGGCACCGAAAGTCAGCAAAAAGTCCGGCAGGCTGCCAATGCGCGTTACGTGACGTCTCCAAAAGGCGCGCAGCTGCCTCTTGGCGCTTCTCGGATTTCCAAGTCCGTTTACGTTGGGAGGGCAGGTCCGCTATAAAAGCGATCTGTTTCACGGCGGCGCTCAGCATCCCGTCCGACAGCGCAAAATCCTCAGGAGGAGGGCGATCACTGGCAGCACGCCGTAGCGTGGCGTACCGGAAGCACTTCCAGAATTTTCCCGCGTGTTCTTCATTTAGCTACACAGGCTGAGCGCTCGCGAGTGAGGCTGTACTGTCGAAGGCATGACGGCGCGGTTGGATGACATCAGACCGCGTACCGGGATGGTCGTGGCCCTGGCCAGCATCTTCCTGGTGTTCGGGTTCATGTTCACCGTGTCGGGAGTTAAGGGCGAGACTCTGGGTGACGTCCCGCTCATTGCCATCGGGCCGGCCATCTGCCTGCCGGGAGTGGCTGCCATCTTCATCGCCAATGCGACCAAGGGTTGCACGGTGTCTCCCTTCCGAGACGGGTGGCTCTGTAAACGGGGACGGCCCAGAAGGGAGGATGGTAGGAGCTGTGTGGATCTGAAGGCACTCCACAGCTGCAAGAAGGCCCGTTCTGGTGAGGACTCTGTGTCCACCACCACGGTGGGCGAGACCAGCCAACTGGTTCGAGATGTAGAGCGAGATGAGGTCTTACGCTACCTACAGGACTGTTACCCTTCCAGCACCTTCCTTGAGACTTCAGACAAGTCGGGCTCCTATGCCTTGGACCGGCTGTGCCCTAGCCAGGAAAGCACGCTCAACGAAGCCGCTCGCTACACCGCTGTGCAGGCGCCATATGACAGCATTGTAGTGTCATCACTCTACAAGAGCAACTCCTACGGGTCCTACTGCTGCTACATCCCTCCGCGGGACTTCAGCTGGGACGTGGAGACCGTGGTCTGACGGGGGGGGGGGGGGGGGGTGGGGGGGGGGGGGGGGGGGGGGGGGGGGGGTGCTGCAGGAGGAATTCCAGGGCAGACCCAAAAGCTGTTGATGCCCATGCCTCTTCCTCACTGTTCCTTACACCGGGAGAGGTAATCCAGCTTGGGGGGGGCGGGGGGGGGTCCATCATTATGGGCCACCCAAGGATGTTTGTGTTATCAAACAAATCTCAGGGAAACTTAAAATTGAACACACAGATGTTGATTTAATTGTTTCTCTACGTGGAGTGTCTCCTCGATGTATTTCCATTTTGCTGTAAATTTTGAATGAATGTTTGTATTTATATTCTGCTTTATAACAATGGGCTGTTTCTCAGTTCTTAGGACTACTGACGTTCCTCTAAGGCAGCTAGTAAGAGGCTTAATCGACAACTGGACTGACGCGGTTGTATTTGAAACCACCAGATACCTAATTTAATAATTATAATTTCACATCGACAAGCTAAAAATTTTATAGTTTTATATAATTGTTTTTTGTTGTTATTTTGTGTCAGTTTGTGAATTATGAATGAATTTACACTGTACTCAACTGGGATACAAAAAAAAAAAAGTAAGAAAGGGAATTTTTGCATATCAAACTGCAGTTTTTGACTTGATAAAGCATACTGGATAATATGTTACATAAATAATGTTTTTTTCCTGCTATAAAGATGTCATTTCTGCTAAGAGGCATTACGACTTTGCACCTGTCATATTCTGGCATTTAAACCAACGCAAGATTGTAAGAATCACAGAATTTGCCATCTGCTACAATAAAGGATTGCACACTTCCTTGCTTTCAGAATAAAAATACTTGCCACAACTGTTGCTTCTTTATCAAATAGATCAGAGCTGTGAGCTGTGGCTTCTATCTACACCGAATCCACTGCCTGAAATTCATTCTCCAGCAAGCCTGTCTAGCTAATCCACATACAACAGTCTATACCTGCAGAATGGATCCAGCAGGACCCACGAGATGGGACCAGAATTAATGGACGTTAAGGCGGCTGGACCTCAGAAAACCCCACACAGAGTGGCCCATGAAGAACCACATGTCCACTGGAGGGAAGCAGAGGGTTGCTGGAGAGGTTGTTATGGGATAAAGACAGAACCAAACCACTTTAACAACATCAACATTAAAGAGAACTAAAGTTTAGAATGCTAGAAAAGTACCACGAACCCGACAAGTAATAATAATAATATACTGTATAAATTATTATACTATTTCAGACGGTGAATCGCAAACCTGCCTCACAAACATGCGATCGGCTCCCGGTTTCACTCCCGTCGGGCCGTCAGACGGCGGAAACGCCACACGGTAGCAGTGATTCGGCACCGGTGTACGACGGGAATTAGGCGCCTGCTGTGCCGCGAGCATTTAAGGTTACAGCGAGCATTTTACTGGTTATTGTATAACTGGTCCCCATCGCATTAAAATAATATTTAAAAAATGTTACAAAAAAAAACTAGGGTATAGATAAGAGAGGACAAGCTTCACCAGATACACAAATCCACCCATGCAAATTATTTCAGTATCAGCGTGAAGCTGTTCAAACAGCCCGGGATGCAAATAGGTTTTTTATTTTTTTTTTGCACATTATTAGGTTCTCGGCTATAACGACGACGAAATACAGAGATATTAAGCTTCTGGAGTCATCTAACGCAGACACCGACAGCCCCCCTCTCAACTTGGGAAAAGCACACTGGGGGCGATCGCGTTCCCCGGCGAGGCTATTTGGAAATGCATATTCATGATCCTTGACGCCTAGGAAGAAGCGTTTCGCTGATGGTTGAGTAGCGGACGTGGCCCGTGCGCGTCCCTGCTGCGCAGCGGTGACTTTGGGAGGAGCGGGGCCACGCGTGGGCGGCTGGCGTGCGCGGTGCCGCTCGCCGGGAACGCGGCTGGAGAGCGTGGCCGGTACGTCCCATGCGTCCTGCACCTTCAATCTCCCGTTTGCTGATCGGCCGTTTCGCAGGTTTCACTTTATTTACTTTTTTTGCACTAACGTTTGTGCGGCGCGGCCATGTTTTTATATTAATAAATATTTTAGTGATTGTTTTATACTAGGTTTTATTTATCGTGATAGTGTTTTAGTGTCGGGCACCACTGCGACAGTTTTAAAGGCATATGCGGAAAAGTGCGTCCTTCGCCGGCGGTGGGAGTCGTCCTCAGTTCCCATGCTATCTGTGAGGTTTTACCGATTTATTGCGTATAATCCCGGAAATCGCGGTCACATGGGCCAGGATCGGTCCGGTAAATGAGTGCTGGGAGCAGGATCCATCGCGCCGATTTCGCTACCCAGACTAGTGAATAGAGGTGAACGGCGATTTGGAGAAATGAATGGGGGCGGTTAACGGGTACGTGGGGAAACGAGGACTTCTCGGTGTCACGAGTCACCATTATCGAGCTGTCACATGGCTGGGGGGCAGATGGACTTAGCACTTTGCAACACATGCGAAAGAGGATGTGGGTTATACATACTTAGCAGACGATCTTATCCAAAGCGAAATACATTTTTTAATTAAGTAGGGAGAGAGAACGACTCAAGCGGCTCCGTCATCAGACCCTGGGATTTTACGGGATCTTTAGGATTGTAAGTTCAGCGTCCCACGCCTGCAAAGTATGACACAGTGAAACTGGAAAAGGTCGATATCAGAGATGTTTTTATTCCGCCACGGCGCGTTTTAGTGCTTTATTGCGGCTGTCAGACGCCCACTGCGCACCCCGGTGAAACCGTCCGGCTGGCAGCGTCGCCACGTGTGAAGGCGGCGCGTGAAAATGAAACGGGGTGTCTCTTTGAAGTCCTTTGCTGGGCACACGGGCTCGCGGCTCCTAGCTGCTGTGCTTAATGCGCTGTTTATTGGCTGCTAGGCTCCGGTGCATGTAAGCGCACGTACGCATGATTTCTGCCGTCAGCTGACATCCTATGGTTTTGCAGCTTTGCTCGCTATCAGAGTAACCTTATCGGGTAGGCCTTATGTCCTGTGCGGAACAGGCAATAAAAACAGACCCACCCACTGTGTAGTAATGTAGATCCTCTTCTAACTGATAAATCTGGTGTGACTTACGCATCATGGAAATGTCTTTGTATCCGCAGGTTGATCTGCTCTGTGCTGGGAGGGGGGTTGGGCCACTCTGCACTTTAAGGACACCCCAGCAGACCTTGCCCTGGAACCTCCCTGTGATCAGCCATGGTGAAGTATTTCTTCAATGAGACGGACATCAAGAGCGCATGGGACCATGTCGTCTGTGCTTTCTGGCAACGCTACCCCAACCCGTTCAGGTACGTGACCACCACCACCACCATCTCCCCTGGTGCTGGGGTTCGAGGTTGGGCTTGAAACCGCATCTGTCATCTGTATCAGTGCTGAACCATTTCCGTGACGCAGATCCGGGAAAACTGAAGCGTCATGCTGTTGACCTAAATTTATTAATTTAGCAGCAATGGCTAATGGCAGTAGAGTTGACACACATCCATGCCGTCGTCTTTGGAGACTGTAGCCGGTTCCGGCAGAATAGGGCTCTCGTTTATCGTATATACGATACCAGACTCTCACGGCACTCACAGAGAGCACTGCAGGTTCTCAGTAGGGGAAGTGAGATAAGCAGGCATCGAGAAATGACGTGTCAAGTGATGCGTCACCTATGGGAGACCAGCACCATGCATTTCCTGTAACACGCTGTCCTAACGACACTCTGGGATTTTTTTCTTCTTAAAGTTGTCCACAGGAGTAAATGTCCAAGAGGCGTCACACACGGGTATGAGAGCGCAGCGCCCCCAGAATGAGAGTATATCTGTAGACTCAAGCTGGACTCTGAGCTACATCTGAAACAGATCAAGTTGTTTTAAACACCCCCCCCACCCCCCCACCCATGTGTCCATGTGTGTTGCTCCAGGTATGGAATCCTGCAAAATTGGAGAACCGGTGTCCATTGTTGCAGTGTTATACTTCAGTTGCCTTAGTCATGCCCCACCCACAGCTACATGCTCACAGCTGAAGTAGTTCTACCGAACAGGAGGTTATAGGTTCAAATCCCACGCATAGCAGCATAATAGTGCCACCATCGGGCCTTTAACCTTGACATTTCCACAGGTTTCGGACACCGGCTGACCCTGCGCTGTGACCTACCTTGGCTGCTAAGTTAATGCGTGCTGTGATGTGAAAAAGAAGCCTTGGAGAATCGCACCGCTCTGTGAAGCTCACCTGGGCCCCAGTGCTTGTAGCCCCACACCCCCCAACCTGTCTCTTACCCTCCCCAGCGCCCACGTGCTGACCGAAGATGTGGTGTACCGTGAGGTCACCCCGGATCACCGGCTGCTCTCCCGGCGCCTCCTGACCAAGACCAACCGTCTGCCACGTTGGGCCGAGAGGTTCTTTCCCGCCCACCTGTCGCGTTCCGTCTACGTCGTGGAGGACTCAGTCCTGGACCCAGTCAGCAGGACCATGACCACGTTCACTTGGAACCTGAACCACACAACGCTGATGGTGAGCGCGACCTGCCGTCTCTCGGTTACTCGCCGGTCGGGTCGCAGTGGCACTGGCAGTATCCTGTATACGCCAGATGGCGAGGTCTTCTGTAGATGTTTGCTGCTAAGATCCTCTTCTGCGTCTCTGAACCATTCCTTAAATCGCTGCTTCTGACATACATTAAAATTTGCATTTGCTCAGTCTGCCGACCCTAAACCCTATTCCAGGCGGAATTTACTTTGCAATTAATCATCGTCTGTCTCAAACTACAGTCTCAAGTCTCCATGTTTGGGGGGAGTTTACATTTAATGCCATAAATTAAGCAATTTTATCTCTAACTAAAATACACAAGGAACTCTTCCTGGTTCGGAACGGTTTTGTGCCCGTGCTGCTAGGTTTGTCTGCTCCTGGTGCCTCAGGCTGTATCACCTATTCTTCCCCATAATTACCCCCCCCCCCCTCACATGCACACCCCCCCTCACAGATTTCGCCACCTCACCACCCTTTTATTTGCCCACATCCATAATTTATGCCCCTTGGTCTACTCCTCTGTGTTACTGCACTTGACCTAAATGTCAGATAGAGGCAGCCAGTGCCAGAGATAACAGACGGGGAATAATCAGAAGGTCGCTGGATCAAATCCCAGCATCAGCTGAGTGCTTTCTTAAATGTATGTCACATTGGATATTTACTGCTAAAAAATATTATTATGCTGAACATACACTATATGGACAAATGTACCAGGCCATTACATCTACAGATGACGTCCCATTATAAACTGAGTATCTGTGAGGTCAGGCACTGATGTTGGACGTGAAGGTCTGGCTCACAATCTCCATTCTAGTTCATCCAAAAGGTGTTTGATGGGGTTGAGGTCAGGGCTCTATATGGGCCAGTCAAGTTCTTCCACACCAAACTCACCCAACCATGTCTTTATTGGCCTTGCTTTGTGCACTGGGGCAGAGTCATGCTGGGAGCGTAAATGTCCTTCCCCAAACTGTTACCACAAAGTTGGAAGCATAGAATTGTTCTAAATGTCTTGGTATGCTGAAGCACTGAGTCCCGTTCCCTGGAACTAAGGGGCCAAGTCTAACCACTGAAACACAACCCCACACCATTATCCCTCCTCCACCAAACTTTAAAGTTGGCGCAATGCAGTCAGGCAAGTAATGTCCTCCTGGCATCTGCCAAACCCAGACACGTCCATCAGACAAGAGAGAAGCGTGATTCGTCACTCCAGAACACGTTTCCAGTGGTGACGTGCTTTACGCCACTCCATCCGACGCTTGACACTGCGCTTGGTGATGTGAGGCTTGCATGCAGCTGCTCGGCCATGGAAGCCCATTCCATGAAGCTCACAGTGCAGTTTTTGTGCTGGAGTTAATGCCAGAGGAAGTTTGGAACTCTGCAGTTATTGAGTCAACAGTGCGTTGGCAACTGTTACACACTGTACGCCTCAGCACTCGACTCCGCTCTGTTACTTTACACGGTCGGCCACTATGTGGCTGATTTTCAGTTCTTCCTAAACACTTCCACTTCGCGACAATAACACTTACAGCTGACCGTGGAAAATCTAGCAGGGAAGAAAATTCACAAACTGACTTATTGCAAAGGTGTTGGTTGAATGAACCATGGTTGAATTCACTGAGCTCTTCTATCTGTCAAATCAGATAGAAGTTAAGTTTGCATTCCTGTGTTTGGAAGCAGAGCAGATAATAAGAGGGATCTAGGCTTGATTTGGTGACAGTAAAACAAGCTTTATGTCACCATGTTGGAGGGTGTTGGGGTGGGGTCACTGGCTGTGTAGTATGTTCTGAATTTCCTGTCTAACTCTTCCTCATACTGAATAGGCTGTGTAGGGTGGGACAGGGGTGCAGCGTCTGTGCCCGTGATCAGAAGGTTGCAGGTTTGATTCCCAGGCCTAGCAGAGTAGCTATATCTCCAGTGGGCTTTAGAGCAGTCGGCTTTAACACCCTGAAAATTGCCCCAAAAAAATATTCTGTGGGCAGAGGGAAAAATGATTAGTTCCAAGAGATAACCAGATAGATTGTAGAGGAGGTGGGTCCAAGCAACCAGAGGAGGCGGGGCCAAAATATGTGATTGGTTGGTGCCATCTCCTCTAGTTGCTTGGTCCCACCTCCTCTACAATCTGATTGGCTTTTTCTCTGAACCAAATAAAGCTTCGGCTTCATTTCATTTCAGACTGTGGAGGAGCGCTGCATGTTTCAGGAGAACCAGGAGCGTCCTGCTTGGACCAAGCTCACGAGGGAAGCCTGGATCTTCTCAGGGGTCTATGGCTTCTCCAGGGCCATACAGGTATGGGGTATGACACTGCGGAGGGTGGGGCAGTATAGTGGGTATACCGTCAATTTCAGGGTGTAACTCCACCCAGTAGGATTCCGTAGTAATCGTGTTGTCATTGAGCTCTTGGACCTTAATGCTGCACACGGAACAGTGCTGGTTCACAGAAGGGGCCCCTGTTGTACCCTGAAGTCCTCACACTCTGACTCCACCTGCCCAATTTCCCCAGGAGTTCGGCCTGGCCCGCTTCAAGAGCAACCAGACAAAAGCCATGAAGGGTCTGGAGCACGCTCTGTCCAACCTGCAAGGTACGTTTGCCCCAGGGGGCTGTTTAAGCTTGACGTCTGACTTGCTTCGCGGCTTAGTCTTAGGAGGGGATGTCGTGATTGGCTTATTATTTTGAGCCGATAAACCTGAGGTGGAGTTCATTTCCATCCCGCTACATTGTCCACCAACCAGTAGGTGGCGCCATTACAAAAGGTCTCTTCTTTTTGACACCCGATTCCTTCTCCTGCTTTTCACTCTGTAGCATGGGAGTCAGCATTAGAGTGGTAAGCAGAGACTGGTCAGTGGGGCGACCCTTCCAGAACATTCCCTGGTGTGTAGGCGATAGAGACCCTCTTATTTTGTTTTATGCCTAGTGTTAAAATAGAGTATTTACACGAGTAGCTACAGACGCTGAGTCTGCCCATTGCAAGTACTTTGTTTAGAAACGCAGGGGGGCTGGGAGGGAGGAGGCAGACTGAACGCGGACTTATGGAATTATTTACGCTTTTTGCAATGGTGTCCTTTTGACTGCGGGCTGCCTAATCTGTCTTGGGCCCCCAAGGTCATTTCTGTGGGACCTGAGAGGCGGAGGCTGGACACTCGGTCCGATCGCATGTCTCCCTCACACGCAACTGTATTGTTGATTTCGTTATTTTCGAGGTGACCCCCC